TGCCCAGGCGGGTCTCGAATCTGCAGGCTCAGGCAATCCATTCACCTCAGCCTCCCAAAGCGCGGGATTACAGGCTGAGCCACCGAGCCCAGCTACCTACACAACTTCTTAGGTCTTGAGGATCACCACCCCTCCTTCCAAAACAGGGGATGCTCTGGTGAGAGTTACAGACCCAAAATGTATGAGGGTGGAGCTTTTAGTGAATGGGAGAGGTTTTCACAACAGCCCTCTTACCTTTTTTTTTTTTTTTTGAGTTGGAGTCTCACTATTGCCGAGGCTGGAGTGCAGTGGCACGCTCGTGGCCACCGCAGGCTCAACCTCCTTGGTTCAGGTGATCCTTCCACCTCAACCTTCCAAGTAGCTGGAACTACAGGCGTGTGCTACTACATCTGGCTAATTTTTTTATTTATTGTAGAGATGAGGTCTCACCAAATTGCCCAAGCTGGTCTCGAACCCGCGAGCTCAGTCAATCCTCTCGCCTCGGCCTCCTAAAGTGCTGAGATTCCTGTACTTTTCCCTGACTCATTCAGTTTACAATCCAGGAGAGCCAAAATATCATTCATATTACTTTCCTTATCCCTTTGCCTCCAAACTGTTTCCAAAACAAAAGCATTGCTCCAAGGAAGAGCTCACACAGTGAAGGGAATCCCATGTAGGGAAAAGCTAGGAGCGCCACACAGGAGAAAAACAGAAATGAGAAGGCATTATGGTCACTTTTCTTGTCACCAATCACTGTTTGCCTGGCAGGGAGAGCCAGGTATACACAGCCCCATCATCATAATTCTCTAGTCTAACCCTACATCTTTGAGAAGTCTGAGTCAAAGGTTTCAGGAAGAAGACAATTTGTGAGGTTTTGTTAAAGGATGATCACCAATCTTTTTTTTTTTTTTTTTTTGAGTTGGAGTCCATTCTGTCACCCAGACTGGAGTGCAGTGGCACACTCATACTCATGGCCACTGCAGCCTCTACCTTCTGGGCTCAGGTGGTCCTTCCACCTCCGTCTTCCAAGTAGCTGGAACTACAGGCACATGCTACCATGCCCGGCTTATTTTTTGATTTATTTATTTATTTATTTATTTTGAGTTGGAGTCTCACTCTGTCGCCCAGGCTGGAGTGCAGTGGCCACTCCCGGCCACCGCAACCTCGACCTGCTGGGCTCCAGCGATCTTTTCGCCTCAGCCTTCCAAGTAGCTGGAACTACAGGCATGCACTACCACGCCCGGCTAGTTTTTGATTTGTTGTAGAGATGAGGTCTCGCCAAGTTGCCCAGGTGGGTCTCGAACCCGCGCGCTCAGGCAATCCGCTCACCTCAGCCTCCCAAAGTCACGGGATTACAGGCTGAGTCACCGAGCCCAGCTTATTTTTTTATTTATTGTAGAGACGAGGTCTCACCAAGTTGCCCAGGTTGGTCTCAAACCCTTAGGCTCAGGCAATTCACTCACCTCGGCCTCCCAAAGTGCTGGGATTACAGGCTGAGCCACTAAGCCCAGCCTAGACAATCCTCTTGCCTCGGCCTCCCAAAGAGTTGGGATTACAGGCTTCAGCCACCGCAACCAGTCGATCACCAGTTTGTTTGTTTGGGTTTTTTTTGAGTTGAATTCTCACTCCCTCGCCTAGGCTGGAGTGCAGTGGAATGCTCCCAGCCACCGTAACCTTGACCCACTGGGCTCCAGCGATCCTTCCACCTCAGCCTTCCAAGTAGCCGAAACTACAGGCAAGCTCTACCATGCCCAGTCAAATTTTGATTTATTGTAGAGATGAGGTCTCGCCAAATTCCCTGGGCTGGTCTCGAACCCACGGGTTCAGGCAATCCACTCACCTCGGCCTTCCAAGTGCTGGGATTACAGGCTGAGTCACTGAACCCAGCCGATCACCAACTTTTAAGAGAACTGTTGGGATTCCAAAAAATATGCACAGAACCAAATGCACAGATTTTCTTTTCAAACTCTGTTTATTCATTTATTTATTTTTAGCCTACTCCCAAAGCCCTGAAGCACATTTTCCCTTAGATTTAAACTCCAGGAAGACATTCTTATCACTTGCAGTTCACCCTTTACTACCTACTCCTGTGTGGAGAGTCTTGAATGGCTAAACAGAATAGCTAAACCACACCCTAAGAACTTTCCCACCTAATGCCTCCACTCCGTCTCACATGAGGTAGTAGAAAGTAGCTGAGGTTAGGCATGCTCTTCTGTTACCCATCTATTAGTCAGAGAAATTAAATTATTTGGTTGAATGAGTTCTGCTTCAAGAGACAGAAGAAAGTTCTACCCTCCAGTAATGTCACAGAGGATTATTTAGTCTCTTTCCAGCTTCTTTCCTAAAAAGCAAAGAAAAACCAGAAGACAACATCATGATACTCAGAAGCTCTTTACAATTAGGGAAGAGTTATTTCTATACAGATGTCAGGATACCCGACATACCTAATATAGAAAAAAAAATCTTACAAATGCACGATTAGATTACTACTAGTGCTATCTCACAGGTGTGGAATCAGGCAACCTTGGCCTTCATCTTAGTAATTTTTTTTTTTTTTTGAGTTAGTGTCTCACTCCGTCGCCCAGACTGGAGTGCAGTGGCCGCTCCCGGCCACCACAGCCTCACCTGCTGGGCTCCAGCGATCCTTCCACCTCCGCCTTCCAAGTAGCTGGAACTACAGGTGCGTGCTACCACGCCCGGCTAATTTTTGATTTATTGTAGAGATGAGGTCTTGCCAAGTTGCCCAGGCGGGTCTCGAACCCGTGAGCTCAGGCAATACCACTCACCTCAGCCTCTCAAAGCGCTGGGATTACAGACTGAGCCACTGAGCCTGGCTTTTTTTTTTTTTTTTTTTGAGTTGGAGTCTCACTCTGTCACCCAGGCTGGAGTGCAGTGTGACACTCACAGCCACCACAGTCTCGACCTGCTGGACTCAGGCGATCCTTCCACCTCAGCCTTCCAAGTAGTTGGAACTACAGGCACTCACCACTATGCCCTGTTAATTTTTTGATTTACTGTAGAGATTGTAGGGTCTCAACCCCTGAACTCAGGCAGTCCTCTCACCTTGGCTTCCCAAAGTGCTGGAATTACAGGCTTGAGCCACTGTGCCCAGCCAGTAATTTTTATATAACAAAGATGTACAGAAATAATTAGGAAAAAATCTATTTTCAATATGATAGGAAAAAATGCTGTTTTTAATGCCATCGTTAGCTTTTTCTGTTGTGAATTATGGAGATTATTATGCTGTCTTCAAAAATTTAGGACAAAAAAAGGAAAGCCCACTTTCTATCAAAATTAAGCTTCCACAACTGGGCACGGTGGTTCAAGTCTATACTATCTCAGCACTTTGAGAGGCTGAGGTGAGAGGATTGCCTGAGCCCGCGAATTCAAGACCAGCCTGGGCGACATGGTGAGACCTCGTCTCTACAATAAATCAAAAAATCAGCTGGGCTAGTAGTGTACGCCTGTAATTTTAGCTACTTGGAAGGCTGAAGTGGAAGGATCGCTGGAGCTCAGCAAGTTGAGGCTGTGGTAGCCGTGAGCATGCCACTGCACTCCGGCCTGGGCAACAGAGTGAGACACCGTCTCAACAACAAAAAAAAGCTTCCACAAGACAATAACAATAACAAAAAAGGATCCACCTAACTTCCGAATACCACCATCCTAACTCAAAACTCTAGCCTTTTTTCTGCTGCACTCACCTCATTCACAGGGATCAGAATATTGAATTGTTGCCTGTTCGTCTGTGAAATGAAATGATACATAATATTACTTAGAAGGCCTCATACATTCAGAAAGAAAGTGTTTGATAGAAGCTACTGCTTTAGCCCAGGTTATGAGGAATTACAAGAAATTCAGAATTACAAGAAAGTTTCGATCACTAATAATTGCATGTTGTCACAAATTATTATTATTATTATTTAAGTTGGAGTCTCACTCTGTCGCCCAGGCTAGAGTGCAGTGACGCGCTCATGGCTATTGCAGCGTCGATCTGCTGGGCTCAGGCGATCCTTCTGCTTCAACCTTCCAAGTAGCTGGAACTACAGGCGCATGCTACCATAACAGTTAATTTTTTGGTTTATTGTAGAGATGAAGTCTCGCCAAGTTACCCAGGCTGGTCTCGAACCTGTGGGCTCTGGCAATCCTCTCACCTCAGCCTACCAAAGTGTTGGGAATATAGGCTTGAGCTACCGCGCCTGGCTGCAAATTATTAATTATAGCAAAATTACTAGAAATAACTCTTTGAGAACAATGATCCCTCTACAGCTCCCTGGCCTGCTTGTAAACTGGTTCCCTCTACTCATGGTCCACCTTGACCCATGATTCCACCACTAAATTAGTCAAAGAGACCAAAGAAACAGAGACTTGCATTTTACTCCAAAGTTCTATGTTCCCTATCACATATAGAGCATCTCTAGTATAGAAGATTAAAAATGGCATACACAGTGACTCATGCCTGTAATCCCAGCACTTTGGGAGGCCAAGATTTGAGGATTGCTTGAGCCGTGGAGTTCAAGACCAGCCTAGGCAACATAGCAAGACCTTGTCTCTACAAAAATACAAAAAACTTTGGAGGGCATGGTGGTGCGTGCCTATAATCCCAGCTCTTTGAGTGGCTAAGGCAGAAGGATCACCTGAGCCCAAGGAGGTCAGGGCTGCAGTGAGCCATGATAGTATTACTGCACTCCAATCTGGACAACAGAGTGAGACTCCAATTCCAACAAAAAAAAAGGCGTTCAATTGAATTAAAGTGTTTTGGAAGAGCAGGCAACGCAATTATGTGCTACTTAGATTGAGAAGGAGTATTTGTAGAACTAAGAACAGCACCATGAACGATGAGGCAGAAGTAAGTTGAGAGAAGAAGGTAAGATCTCAGTTCTCACCTAACAGGTAGTAGTCATAGACTTTGATGGCTGCTGGTTTCAGGTTGGTGACCAGCACGCTTTGGCTGATGGTGAAGGTGTAGGTCTGAGTCTTCTCGCTGAGCTGTAGGGCAAACAGACAAAACATCTCATCAAAACTAAAATGGAGATAACACTCTATGAAATGTGGGGTTAAAAGACTCTTGCTGCCGGGCTGGGTGGCTCAGCCTGTAATCCCGCGCCTTTAGGAGGCTGAGGTGAGTGGATTGCCTGAGCCTGCGGGTTCGAGACCCGCCTGAGCAGTGAGACCTCATCTCTACAATAAATCAAAAAAATTAGCCGGGCGTGGTAGCGTGTGCCTGTAGTTCCAGCTCTTTGGAAGGCTGAGGCGGAAGGATCGCCAGAGCCCAGCAGGTCGAGGCTGCGGTGGCCAGGAGCGGCCACTGCACTCCAGTCTGGGCGACCGAGTGAGACTCCAACTCAAAAAAAAAAAAAAAAAAAAGACTCTTGCTGTCTTCATGCAGATTTCCTGAAACCCTCTACCTGTCCCTTCTGCCCTATGCCAGCCTGAAAGACAGTGCTTCCTGCGCACTTTTGGCTCTGGCTCTTTCTTCTTAGGGTTCTGCTGCTCCTTGACCTTCTTCTAAATTTGTTCCCTCTGTCCATGGTCCTCCCTGATCCATGGTTCTTCCACTAAATTAGTCACAGTAGCTAAAGAAACAGATTTGCATTTTATTCAGAAAGTTCTATTCTTCCTATTGGTTTTCTTTTTCTTTCTTTCTTTTTTATTTTTTTGAGTCAGAGTCTCACTCTGTTGTCCAGGCTGGAGTGCAATGGCATGCTCACGACCACTGCAGCCTCGACCGGCTGGGCTCAGGCAATCCTTCCACCTCAGCCTTCCAAGTAGCTGGAACTACAGGCACGCACCACCATACCCAGCCAATTTTTTAATTTATTGTAGAGATCAGGTTTCAACAAATTGCCCAGGTTGGTCTCAAACCCATGGGCTCAGGCAATCCTGTTATCTCAGCCTCCCAAAATGCTGGGATTATAGACATAAGCCACTGTCCCTGGCCTGGTTTTCTTTCTTTGATCAGGTCTCTGATCCAATGACACTTCCTTAGAGAAGCTGTTTTTGACCACCATATTTTAAAATAGCCACTTCTCTGGTTTGCTCCACTAGCACTCTTTTTTTTTTTTTTTTTTTTTTTTTGAGTTGGAGTCTCACTCGGTCACCCAGACTGGAGTGCAGTGGCCACTCCCAGCCACCGCAGCCTCGACCTGCTGGGCTCCGGTGATCCTTCCGCCTCAGCCTTCCAAGTAGCTGGAACTATAGGTGTACGCTACCACGCCCGGTTCATTTTTTGATTTATTGTAGAGATGAGGTCTCGCCAAGTTGCCCAGGTGGGTCTCGAACCCACGGGCTCAGGCAATCCACTCACTACGGCCTCCCAAAGCGCGGCATTACAGGCTGAACCACTGAGCTGGCTCCCCCAGCACTCTTTTTTTGTTTGTTTGGTTTTTTGTTTGTTTGTTTGTTTGTTTGTTTGTTTGAGCTGGAGTCTCACTCTGTCACCCAGACTGGAATGCAGTGGCCACTCCCGGCCACCGCAGCCTCAAACTGCTGGGCTCCAGCGATCCTTCCGCCCCAGCCTTCCAAGCATCCCCCAGCACTCTTAAACCCCTCATCCGGCATAGCATTTATCATTATAGATAAAAAGTAGGCCGGGGCAGTGGCTCACGCCTAAAATTCCAGCACTTTGGTAGGCCAAGGCAAGAGGATTGTCTGAGCCCACGGGTTTGAGACCAGCCTGGGCAACTTGGTGAGACCTCATCTCTACAACAAATCAAAAAATTAACTGGGTGTGATGGCAGGTGTCTGTAGTTCCAGCTACTTGGAAGGCTGAGGTGGAAGGATTGCCTGACCCTAGCAGGTCGAGGCTGCAGTGGCCGTGAGCATGCCAGTGCACTCCAGCCAGGGTGACAGAGTGAGACTCCAACTCAAAAAAAAAGGAAAAGAAAAAAAAATGTAAGTGTATGCACACTTACATATGTAATTTTTTTTTTGAGTTGGAGTCTCACTCTGTCACCCAGACTGGAGTCCAGTGGCACGCTCCCGGACACCGCAGCCTTGACCTGCTGGGTTCAAGTGATCCTCCCGCCTCAGCCTTCCACGTAGCCGGAACGACAGATGCGTACTACCACACCTGGCTAATTTTTGATTTATTGTAGAGACAAGGTTTCGCCAAATTGCCTGGGCAGGTCTCGAACCCGCGGGCTCAGGCAATCCATTCGCCTTGGCCGCCCAAAGTGCTGGGATTACAGGCTGAGCCACCAAGCCCAGTCTATATATGTAATTTTTAAAAACTTGGATATTGTCTCTCTACTAGAATATCAGCTCCTTGAGGGCAGGGATCATGTCTGTTGTTTTCTTTTTGAGTTGGATTCTCACTCTGTCACCCAGGCTGGAGTACAGTGGCACGCTCACAGCCACCACAGTCTCGACTTTGCTGGCCTCAGGTGATCCTTCCCCTCTTCCTCCAAGTAGCTGGAACTACAGGCCTGTGCCATCACATCTGGCTAATTTTTGGATTTACTGTAGAGATGAGGTCTCACCAAGTTGCCCAGGCTGGTCTCGAACCTATGGGCTCAGGCAATCCTCTTACCTCAGCCTACCAAAGTGATGGGATTATAGGTGTGAGTCACCGCACCCGGCCATCTGTTGTTTTCATTGCTATATCTCCATCACTTAGCAGAGTGACTGGCATATATTGGTTGCTCAGTAAATATTTATTGAATAAATCAATAAATTAATAAATGGAAAATCTAAGGCAGAGGCAAGAGGATTGCCTGAGCCCAGGGGGTCTGAGAGATCAGAATTATTTTCAGAGTAACACTAAGACATTATTTGCTCTTTACATTCTCATTCTGTTATAAGTGTCCAGGGGAGCTATCAGAGGTGACTTGATGTGTAATAGTCCAACAGATTGAATGCAGAAGTAAATAGGAAAAGTTCATTCTTTTTGATTAAGCAGATATTAACATAAAAAATGTAAAACAATGCTACTATTTTCTATTTTTTTTTATTTTTTTGTTTTTAATTATTTTATTTATTTTTGAGTTGGAGTCTCACTCTGTCACCCAGACTGGAGTGCAGTGGCCGCTCCCAGCCACCGCAGCCTCGACCTGCTGAGCTCCGGCGATCCTTCCGCCTCAGCCTTCCGAGTAGCCGGAATTACAGGCATGTGCTACCACGTCCGGCTGATTTTTTGATTTATTGTAGAGATGTGGTCTCGCCGCCCAGGTGGATCTCGAACCCGCGGGCTCAGGTAATCCACTGACCTTAGCCTCCCAAAGGCGCGGGATTACAGGCTGAGCCACTGAGCTCGGCTTCTATTTTTTTTGTTTTGGAAAATAGTTATTTTTCCAAAATGTTACTTATATTAAGATGCAGTGAGTTATTATTGTTTTATTTATTTATTTATTTTTGAGTTGGAGTCCCACTCTGTCGCCCAGGTTAGAGTGCAGTGGCACGCTCCCGGCCACCGCAGCCTCAACCCGCTGGGCTCCGGCAGTCCTTCAGCCTCAGCCTTCCAAGTAGCTGGAACTACAGGCGCGCGCTACCACGCCCGGCT